TCCTTTTCTTCAGGCCTGGGTGAATGCTAGGTGCCTATTAATTGAGGCTTGTTCAATCCGCGACCTCAGCAATTACGAAACGAATTCTTCCAACTTCCACTAGCAGATCCTTTGGATGTGCTGGGTGTCCTTGCTTATTGCTTCGACTATGCTCATCCGTGTCAATATACGCCAGAATATGCTCATCGAAGAGATGGGAGCCCCGGATCGCACATTCGAAGGCTTCCTAGTACCTCGTCATCAGTAGCATTGTGCTTGTTGGAAACTAGCGGCGTAGAAAATAATTGTCCTTTGGCCCTATTGCTTTCACGACTGCTCTTCTAACGCTACTCTTCAAGCGACGGGCATCGGCTGATAGCGTGGGACACAGTTAGGCGATCCTACGAAACTGATTTAGACCGATGATCTACTGCTTGTTCAGGTTGCTCTCGCAATAATTAAGGTCTGATTCTTTCTTAACTTCCACCGTTTTTCTACTCCAGAAGAGCGATTTCTGTATGCATTTCTTCAACTGGAGAAAATCTTGCTGAAGCCAGAATCATATTCCGGCCGCCTTTATTCATCAACATCTCGGGCTATCTTCCGAGCTGCTCGGGACCTGGGCTTCATGTCCGACTTCCAGAGACTTTTATCTCGCCTTTGTTCCCAGAGCCGACATGCTATTCCGCTATCTGCGCTTTGGTCTGTTCCGTAGAACAAGGATCATTCAGGCTGGCACAGATACTTTAATACCCACGACGCATTTTATCTGAGATCAATCACTCGGCTGACACGGTGATAATGGTCGTGATATTCAATAAAACAGGCGGTGGGACCATATCCGTCGACACTCCCTTTCTTCTACCTCCACCATGCTAGAGCTACCATTTCTTCTACTAACAGCAGTATTTGTTCTGCATCGAGTTTTGAGATTCTTGATGTTATTGAGGGTGAGATGCTCTGTGCTAATACGCGGTGAAGTGGCTTCTAATTAGAACTGATAGCGTCATAAAAGTACGATGGGGTACAAAGTATTGTTCGACCCGTATTCGTTTCCTGGAAATGCTATCCCAACGACCTGGTGGAACTTGGGCTTCAGGTGGACTTGGATCTATCGACATACAGGTATGTACCGACATTACCAGCGAGGTTCATCATGCTGAATGACATTAATAAGCACACTTCGAGCACGCATATGATTTGTCCACGATAATACCCGTTTTCGGGAACCCTTATTACATAGGAGCCTCTGTCGATATTGCCAAGCAGATCTGGGGCAACGAGTTGAAGACGAATCTGGCGAAGCCACAAGACTTCACAACCGAAGGGTGCGGAATGGCTGAGTGAATAATTTCGTCGCTTGCTTACTTATCTTTCGCGCAGAATATTTGGAAGCAGCATCGCTTCAGCTCAGGGTGCCGACTGGAGCAGGCATCGTCGAGCTGTTGCCCCTTCATTAAACACTACAATGTATGTTGTGAAGTGTGTGTTGGATAAGCGCTGACCGCTTGTTATATAGGTACTCCAGAATAGTTGAGGAATCAGACGTGGTATACCGCGATATGGTCTCGAAGGAAACATGGGAGGAGAAGAATAACGTTGTAGTAGCCGATCTGGACAGAATCCTCCATAGAGTAAGCTCATAAGCCGCAGAACTCTTCAACTGATTTTAACTTAGAAATTAGTTCGCGTTAGTTATGATATGTCGCTGCGGGTTTGGAATGTCGGTAGAGTGGACACAAGGAAGAGACCACTCCGAACTCTCCACTTTTGATCGCGAACTTTCTGTGGCTGCCCGAATGATTATCCTTCGCTTTATACTTCCAGACTGGGTGTGGAAATTGCCTATCCAAAGGTGAAGACACCTATTGTCATTCTCCGGGAACCCGTTGCTGAGGATTTGCTGGTCGCAAGTCTTCGTGCTATCATGCAGTCATGGAAAATGTGCTATCCCTCATTACTAGTATCGCCGCCAGAAGACAGACTGAGTTTTTACTCGAAAAGAATTTTAGTGACGGGAATATAACGGACCTGTTAACGAAGTTGGTTTCGGCAACTGATGACGCGAACAAATACGCGCTGAAACCTGCGGAAGTGGTGAGTGCATCTTCCATCTTTTGTCAATAGCACGTTCTTAATTCTGGAAAATGTAGACAGCAAACATGATGTCACTACTTTTTGCCGGAAACGGTGCGTGTACATTTTATCTCTTGATAGCAGTATTTAAGGCCCGGGGACGATTGTAGAAACCACGAGCAGTGCACTATTGTCAACGATCACACTTTTAGCTCTGCACTCCGATGAGCAGGAGAAGGCATACCAAGACATCCTACGTGAAGCCTCATGCAAGGACAGCCTGGTACGTGATTTCTTCATTATTGAATTCTTACCATTATATATTACTCCAAAGAGCTTGAGTATCATCAATAATCTCAGGCATCTTTTCGCGTGTTTCAATGAAGCTCATCGACTAGTCCGTGCGTGATCATCACTATATAATTATTACTTGCACTAACATCAGGTTTTAGCTGTTACAATAAATTTACCAAGAGTTACCACGGAGGATACACCTATCCACAGCAACGACTTCCCCGAACCAGAGAAATACATCCCTTCGAGGTGGTACGATGCTACGGAGCATGACTTCCTCATGTTCGGCTTTGGGCCCAGGGCGTGCGTGGGCAGGAAATTCGCTCAGATCGAGGCTGTCTGTTTCCTTGCACATTTCCTGAGGGACTGGAAGGTTGAGGTTATCTTAGAAGCAGGAGAGACAGCGATAGAAGCATGGGATAGGATTGCGGCAGACGCTACTCTGCGTGGAACTGCGTTTTCCCTGGGGTCTGTGCCAATCAAATTTGTCGCAAGAGACTCGAATTAATGTGCCAACGCGCCATTTGTGTACGTAACCAATTCTGAAGATAACATTTTCGGTGAAAACGAATTATTTTTTCTTTCTTGAGCTCGAGAGTTGGCTCGGAGCCGTGAGCCTGACAGTTGAAGCTTCGATGCTGACTAAGACTCGAATCGGTGTCTCGGTGCCGCGGCTGTGCAGGAGGCAAACATATCCAAACTTTCACGGCGCGTCAACGCGATTAGTCTGGACTTGCTTCTTGCCATCATGGGCGACGATACAGCAGGGTCTCCCTCTTCCTCCTCCCAGCGAAACAGCGTTGCTAACGCGAATATAGGCTCACGGTCTTCTCGAGGACCAACTCCAGGGTCATCTGGTAAGATTACGGCATTCTGCTGCTGTCCAACAATTGGATCATTCATCACTTTTTTACTTAGGCACACCAGGGACGTCTACTGCTCCTGCACCCAAACAGAATGACGCTGGTATGCTTGCCGCACTGATACTTGTGCTATAACTCACCATTCGGTAGCCGCGTCGCATACAAGCACCCCATTGAAATCTCCGCAGAAGGCAGCTGCAGCGACTCCGACAGCTGCGAGGCCGTTTCCCATGTCGCCGCCTTCCCAGTCAGTGATGCTGGAGCAGGACGAGTTGGACCTTCCTCCCGCTATCGACAGTGATGACGATGAACTGCCGTCAGTATTGCAGCTGTCGCAACGATTGGCACACACGCAGCCTAGTTACACCAAGCTTAAGGGCGAAAATTCAGTATGTACGCTTATTACATGGCGTGATTCGCGTCCTGACACCATCCATAGGAATCGTCCATCTCAGCCCCATTTCCCTCCACCCCCAAACGCACTCAGTCCCAAAGATCACCCACCAAAGTCTCCCTTGCTCCTTTGCCGCCTGATATCATTTCTATTTGCTCTTCACCTGCTAGTACGCCCAAGAATCACAGTCAAACCAATGGATCCCAGAAACGCAAGCAAGACGACGGCGATCGTAGTTTCGCCGCTTCTGAACAGCCTGCGAAGAGACAGAAAATCAAAGCTGCCAGGCGCCCGACTACTCATAAACACCATGATCACTGGGAGCTCGACGGGAATGTTGTCATCAGGATCAAGAAGACGCTTTTCAGAGTGCATCGGGGCGTGGCGAAGCATAGCAAGTGGCTCTCCAAGCGGCTTGAGGAATGTCCGGATGGGTTTGAGGGGAAGGATCCAGTGTTCGATATCGAAGAGAATAAGAGGGTCACGGTGAAAGATTTTGACGCTCTCTTGGACGCAATGGATAATGCTATGTACGTCCTCTCGCCTCTCTTCCGTTTCGTTGCTGACAGCCTCCTAGCACCTACTTCTATAACCCTCCCGACTTTTTGACTGTCGCATCCATTTTTCGCGCCTCCAAAGCGCTCTCCTTCGATCGCTTCCTAGACTGGGCAACACGTTACCTTGAAGAAATGTGGCCGTCCTCCTTGTGTAAAGTGACTCTTGACCCAATTAGCCATGCTTCCGACACCGTCATCCTCGCGCGTGAGTGGGGCCTCAAGAGCATCCGCAAAAGAGCACTGTACGAGCTCGTGCGCCTCGCTGGGTTCGGCCAGGACGATGATTCGGACGACGAGTCAGACCATAGCAGCGCCATCTCTTCGTCCGACTACAGGCTCTTAGTTCGCGCTCGGGAGATGCTCACCTCCGCGTGGACCACCCGGATCGCTACAGCAACCTTTGGCGTCGAGACCAAGTGCGTTGGGAATGTGGAGGGTTGTACGGCTGCGGACGTGAGTCTGGTGGCCTCGAGGCACCAGGAGATGGTCGTCGCCTCGGGGTTGTTCGAGACGTTCTTGAGGGACCCAATTTGTGGGACTCGGGCGCTGATGGAGCTGGATTGGGCCAAGGCGGGGTATTGTCGGGCATGTGTGGACCAGAGGATTGTGGTGTGGGGGAAGGCGAGGGAGAGGATGTGGGAGGATTTGGATATGTGGTTGGGGTTGGATAAGTGCTGATGCGGGTGGGTGGTGGGGGTTGATTGTTGTACTCGTAGGTTCAAACGTAGTGTATATTGTTAGATTCTCGTTTTATTACTATAGTACGGCGGGGAAGACATGATGCAGTGTGGTTTGGAATACGACCTATTTAAGTAACTAAGTCATGGCATTATTACTTCCCTTTTAGCTCAGTTGGTAGAGCGCGTCACTAGTATATATCGGGATAATCCCACTTCAGGGTGAAGTCAGCCGTTCAACTCGGTTAGAGGGAACTACACTGTTGGTGCAAATCATTTTTCCTCAGTGCTCTCGGGCTAGCGCTTAGCATTGTGGAGCCATTGACAGTTGGACTTTGGAATGTGGATATTAGAGTTTAGGGCAGTGACAAGTACACGTCGCCCGAAACCTCCTAGGGTCAGTTTTGGAATGTTACCGACCCCTCCACAGGGCGGTGTTTTTTGATTCGGTAATTTACCTGCACTAAGCCGCTGCCCTTGTCTGTCGAGACCGGAATGCAGAGAATACTTCCTCTCACAAAATGTGTTAATTCGAAATTCCAGGTGCTATTTCTTCACTTATCACTAACCTTGTCGTTTCCCACAACGCATCGCAGCTCAATCCCCTCAGAATGAACAATTCCGTTGATATTTCCGAGAGAGTTCCTATGTGAACCTCAGGATCAAACCACTCTGGGAAGCGAAGTTCACAGCGCATACAATTCTCCTTGACAGCGTCTAAATTTTTTTTGTATACCTCGAGATCTAGGTTATTTATACGTCCCTAGATGATCTTTCATTACCGCCCATTCCGTTACGCGTCCTACAAGTAGCACGTCTCGGAGAGTGACGCATCCGGAAAGAAGCACACGCCACAAGGCCTGCGGTCCGGACTCCGAACTCGCTGTTATCGTCCATCGTCCGCGGAAAGGCTGACCTCGCTGAACAGGGACGCGTGCGGAAGCAACTCCGTGTCGACTTGCAGCACTGAGGCCCAAGTACTGAATAGCCTGAGGTTACCTGACTGTGGAGCGGTGGCGCCCCAGGCTAGATCCAGGCTAGATCTGCGTGGGTGTGGGTGTTATCTAGAGAGGAAAAAGTCTAGGTCGGCTAGACTGAGAAAGTGGTGTCACTCGACGAGCACCTCCGACGACAACGACGACGATACGGGACAGGACCCCGCCCACGGACACAGTAGCCCTTAGTCACCCAAGCCCACGTCAGCGTCATTTGACCCACCCCTCGGATAACACGTGAAATCACCTATTTCATAAGAGTCTCGCTTGTATTATATTAGCCTCTGCAGCACAAGGGTTCTTGTCTTCCCCCTCGCATCCATTCCACAACAAAACAATAATGCTGAGACCGCCCCCACCACCCTTCCACCTTCCCTTCCACTTTGAGCCACACAATAATCATAACGGCCGTTATTATGAAGATGATGATGAAGGTTGGTTGCTCCTTGCTTGCCTTTTTTTTGCTACCCACGCTGACGATTGGATGCCCCGTCCTCGCCCCTCGCCCCTTTTTATCCTCCCGTCTATAGATGAGACGCCTGAATACAGATTGAACCTTGGTGCTGAGACGCCGGGGGAGATGACGCCTTCGATTTCCTCGTACGCCTTCGCGTGGGAGAGGCCGGGGTCGAGGACCCCCGTACGAAGACGGTCTCTGTCCAGCTTGCGGAGGAGCAGCAAGCCGAGGAGGGACGTCGTAGATAGGGACTGTGGGATCTGGTGTGTCTCTAGATTCCGTCCCTTGCCACTAATGTCTAACCCAGCCGTCTAGCTTCGAAAGCGCGGTAGTCCCCTGTCGAACATTATGCTGTTCAAAATTGTTCTGCTTAGAGCACATCGCTGATGTACGTGAATCCCTCACTGCTGATATCTTCATTTGCTCATCTCCAGTCTAGTGGCTGCACGGTTCGCGCTCTGACGGACGCTGCCCCTCATGCAAGACCCGTTGTACACTGAAAAAGGATACCATTCTTCTCCCCGTGCCCCACCTGCACTCTCCCATACCTCCCACCCCGCCGCCGAGTCTTCGTCTTCGCCCTAGAAGCCCGTCGACATCCGAATCTGAGACCTCGGATGTGGGATCGGAGGAGAGCGAGGACTCCACCGACGCGGACCACGGCTACCACACAGACACCCTCGATCTGTCCGGGACCAAGGTTGCCAGCAAGATCCTGAGCATCGTGGGATTGACTCTTGTTTTCTATGTATTGTTGACGTGATTTCCCATCTGTTCATCTGTACACCACACACCCCACTCCTCTCACTAGTCATGGCATTTTTTTCAACCTTCTAATTGTTGTTTTGGTATAACTCCTGTTTTTTCTCTGTCACTTGTCGCATCGTGTAATAATACCAAGGGGAATGAACATATGTACGCATACAGCATGACCTCCCGGAACATCACTTGAGCAAGTCGTTGGACCTATCACCGGCGAACACATATCGACTATCATCAGATGGTCTGCTGGCAAGGACACACAGATATCGCGAAGCACGAATTCTCTTGGCATAGCTTCCATGCCAGGACCAGCAACGTTAATCAGAGCAGCAGACCGGAAGATAATGATGCACCATCAGCACATGTCCAAATGCTGCAAAGACTGGTACTGAAATAGCATCCCCGCCCGAAAGCCAGACGAAAAGAAGGCAGTACGTTCGTAAGATGGCAGTGTCTAGTAGACATTCAGAAACAGGAATAGCAACGAGCGAGGCCAATTGGAAGGTTGCGCAGTTCGTGTGATAAGAAGAAGCACAGAAGCGGGACCTGGGTACGTATATTTTGCGAACATGCACACGAGAACTTCCTGTGAAAAGGCCCGGCAGGCAATGCTCGGACTCGGATCGAAGGGGAAGGAGGGAACGGGTCGGCCAGTTTAGAGCAACCATTGGAACGAAACTTCGTATTCGGACTCGGAGGGGAAGGAGGGTCGGGAACGGGTCAGTTTAGACTGTAGAGCATCGAACAATCAATCAAAGATGGGCGTCCACGCAACCCGGTTGGCAGCAAGAATGTTTATGAGAGCGGTCTCTTCCAACTTGCGAACTTTGTCGAATAGGAAGCTATGAATCATGTTCTTAACATGGCTTTTCGTAACCCAACGTTGAAGGGTTTAAGTTTAGCCAGCACCGCGACAAGAATTCGGAAGATCCCTGTGTATAGCCAGTCATCATGCATCAAGCTCCAGTCTCGGATTGAGTCTCGCCTTCGGCGATGATAGCCCAAGGGCCGCGCCAACTCGTCCAATCCACAATCCACCAAATGTTCGAGTCAAGGCCTTGGCCCTGGATGCTCCTTCTTGTTACGTGTTAGTTGGAGCCTTGCTCTGATCGAAAGTGTGTTCCGGTGCTGTTAGGCTGAGTTAACGGTATACCTGACATGAACGGGGTGACAACAACAGCGGATGGCGGGGGGAAGGAGAGATGATGGGGACGCTTCAAGTTGTTGGTAAGCGGGCCCGTAAGACATAGCTGTTCCTCCGATGACACAATCATGTCAAGTATGCAAGCCCGAGTGGTATATATTTCTCCTTCCCTGGGCTGTACTCCTTGACGAAATCTAGAGAATCAAGTTTAGATCCTGTGCCAGCAAGCGGGCCGTTGAGAGTGCGCGTCATGATAGTTGTTGCTCCGATGACGCAATGTCGTTGACGAGATCTGGAGAATCAAGTTTAAACTTGGATTCTGTGCAGCCGCCAAGCGAGCTTTTTGCACCGCTGCTTTTTTTTTCGCATTTGATCGTGGGTATCTTTTCTCTTGACGATTGGGAGCAGGTATCGCAAAATCGAGTTGAGAAAGCGCGCTTTTCGTACAAAATTCAAGTTAAGTACTACGAAAGGAAAGAATCACTTACGTCACATAGTACTGCTTGACCTTGCATGACTAAGTCTGCGAGAGATTTGACACTGCAGTCTGCCTCGAGGAGACCAAATCTCATGCCAAAAATACTCGAGTACACTTGCTGATATAATTTTATCTTTATTCCCTGTCCGCTGGTCTGATGTTGCTTTTTGCTACTAGCGCAGACGAATCATACGGGATCTGAGAAGTGTATCCAACTCACCAACGGGTCATACATCCAAGCTTGACTTCGAGGTCCCACAGTGTTTTTCCCCTCTTTCGAAAACGAGCGGCTTACCGTGCGTGTTGAAGCCGATGGAAGACCATCAGTGGGCCAAGGGTTACCGCTCCCTGCTTCATATTATTCGAGAAACTGTACAGTTGACTAGCTGGTTTCGCCGAAAATCAGCTTTATGATTATCCCTGTATGATCTCATCGACTGTCCCCCTTACTCTGCGCCCGCTCTTGATCCCTCATTCCGGAGGCGTTCTCGTCTTGTAGTCACTGCCCCCTTCTCACACCCCTTCCTATCAGGCTTTCTCCGACATCGAGACGATACACAGCGTAGGCGTACTCACGAACTTATCTGAGAACGTCCACGTCGTCCGCCTTTTCCGGGTGTCGGCCTTCTCATCGAATAACGTCATATGGGGATTCGAAAGACGCATCATATCAGAACCTGATCTTCATATGCATATATAAAAACGACATTTCGTCATGGCAAATCGCCATATGATTGCTGCGCAGAAACAAGCTTCTTCAGGGTTGAAGCTGACCTGTAAAGAGCGTACGTGAGAATGGTGATATAACACAGTCGCGCCGCTACGATGGGAGAAGCTCAGTATAGACGAGGAGACCTGGATACTTCCGCTTGAGGGGCAAAAGAAAGGTAGTTGACGCTTGAGGTTAACCTCCAGTCTTTCGTATCAGTCTTGATTATCGAACAATGGCCTTTGAGTTCATCAGAACATTGTTGCTATCAAAAGTAATATGATTCAATCAAATTTCGGTGAGCACATATCACAGTAACCTCCCTTGGGGAGACCAAGAGGGGTTGTTTGTCGTTATATGAAATAGCGAGCCGAAGAAGCGGCGTAATGGGAATACCCTCGTCCGTCGCCCAAAGAGCAACTGCAACAGTACTGAGGGAAACAGTCCTTATGAGCGATGCTTGCATGTCATCGGGAAAACAACCTAATTTTCTCCATGGTAATCCAATATCCCTTCCTGTACAGGGAACTTGCTCTGTGGCCTGCAAACGATTTTGATCAAGGTACGAATTCTCGCTCTGAATAGGTGCACATACCCAAGATTCCCGACCCTCTTCCCCATCATCCATCCATTCACGAATAGATACACCCGATACAGTTGCCCTAGAGGTTCATCGAATACGAACGAGATAGGCACGTCATAGCCTGCCG